GGACGGAGCAGCCCAGCGAGCGGACGGAGCAGCCCAGCGTGCGGACGGAGCAGCCCAGTGAGCGGACGGAGCCATCCAGCACTGAGGTCCAGTCAGAGGGTCCAGACCAGCAGCAAGAGGATATTGAGGATGCGGCACTGCTGGCTGCCCTGGAGCAAGAGGAGGCCAGCATCTCAGCAGACATCCAGGGATGTAGTACTCCTCTTTCAGACCTCTCCACTAGGTAAGGCTCTGTGAAGCCCTCTCTCTGCTCTAGGTGTGTGTCCATGAGGATTGCAGTCCCATCCTCCCTTTTCATTCCAGAAAGCGCGCTCGAGAGGGGACTGAGCAAGAGCCGTGCCCCGCTGCTGCTGCCCACAGACGTGTTATCAAGCTCACCAGCATTAAGGAGCTGCGAGCCCAAATAAGCGAGCTCTCTCACACAGGTGACTGGCTCCGCTGCTGCTACGTGGCCGATGCGAATGCTGCATTCAGCTTGTTTACCGGAAACAGTTGAACATAACATGACTGTGATCCCTTGCACTTATCATCCCCAGGCCTACAGGAAATGCTACAGAACCATACCTTCGTTGGCTGTGTCACTCCTCAGTGGTCCCTGATCCAGCACCAGACTAAACTCTACCTACTAGACACCACCAAGTTCAGGTCAGTATTGTTGTAAGAAATCCTCTTTATTTTTACTCATAATTAGAATGATTTTTGTCCCATTGAGTATTGGTTTCCCTTTAATATAGAGGGTGCAGCATGGTGGCACCCTAATTAGTCTGTTCTGCTGCCTTCCTGACTCTCACGCACCCTTTCGCTCTCCCAGCCGGGAGCTGTTTTACCAGATTCTGGTCTACGACTTTGGGAACTTCGGTGTTTTGCGATTGTCTGTAAGTTATATGTAAAACTCCCTCCCTATCTCAAAATCAATGATGTTAAAGATTTGCTAGTGCATTTTCTTTATAAAGCATAGGCTATGGCTGCATGAAGTCATGTATTCAGTTGCTGGGTAGCCAGCTCTGCAGCCAAATGCTGTGCGTTGATTGGTAGAGCCCGGCACCCCTTTACGACCTGGCAATGCTGGCACTTGAGATGGAGGAGAGCGGTTGGTCAGAGGAGGACGGGCCTAAGGAAGGTTTGGCCCAGTACATTGTGGAATTCCTGCAGAAGAAGGCAGAGATGCTGGAGGACTACTTCTCCATGGAAATCGACCAGGTGAGCTAACGTGCTGATTGCCATAGAATGAGTCCGGTAATGTTTATTCTCTCTGCTGAGTTTCCCCTCAGCTGGAGGGTCTCAGTGCTGATGTCTCTCTCTCTGACCGCTGACACCGGTCCCCCAGGATGGCAATCTGGTTGGCCTGCCACTGCTGCTGGATGGGTACATCCCTGCCATGGAAGGGCTGCCCATGTTTGTGCTGCGTCTGGCCACCGAGGTGAGCAGGACGGGGCGTTTTGCCGGATCAATCCTATCTAACCCGTTGTGGATATCTGACGGTGACTAACCAGTGATCATCGCCTTTGAAGGGCTCAGGCTACACACAAAACATGATTTATGGAGGGTTCATGATTTGCCTTTCAGTTCAGCCTTCTAGGCTGTTTCTGACACAGTTAAAATAAAACACACACCAGGCTAGGGCTGGGCGATATACCGGGTTTTTTGCGATATATCAATATATTTTCATACAAGATATGAGACAATATCGTTTATATCGATATAGTTTGTTGCTTTAAAATTATATTTATAGCGCCGCCACTTCGCCTATTTCTCCTCACCCTCTGTCTCTTACAAAACTGCGCCTTGGCCCGCCCCTCTCCGAAAACAACCCACCCCTCTCACTCACTCACTCACTCACTCACTCACTCAAGTCCTGCATGCAGCGACAACATGGAGACAGGCTCAGACACTAGGCAAGCTAGCGAACAGGAGCTGGCGGGTATTTCACGAAGCAGGATTTCTTGTTTAGCCACATAACTTGTCAGATTTCAGGTAGTCTGAGCTACATTTAAGTGGACGATTTTATAGTCCATTTAGCCCAGATTACCATACATCCAACAAGTTATCCGGCTAAGCAAGAAATCCTGCTTAGTGAAATACTCCCCTGGTTGGTAAAATAGTATATTCCTGTGTTCTAACATTTCATCCTAACCTATGGAAATGTCTTACCTTTGGGTACTGTGCATGCACACAATGAAATCAAGCCCCTTTTCTCGTGCTTGAAGAACCGCCCATGGATCTGTCCTACCTTTCGTTGCAGTTATGGCTTATTTCTGCGTTTTCAAAGTTCATTCATTTTAAAAAATTTTATTAAATACATTGATCACACTTTACTGTCAGCATCACACTGATTTATTATGCTGTATGTCGAATTACCTGACATGTTTTAACACTTTATCTTATAAGGTATTTCAGACTCGCAATGCCTGCTCACATTACATTAGTTTGTGTTTTTTAGACAAGTTACGTTTTTATTTTTTGGATTATCCGCTTTCAGTTTCAGCCCATAAAAATGACAATAACATTTTCTGTAAGACAGCACCGATCGATAGATATATCTGTCGAAAGGCAGTAAGGTAGGACAAATTGACATTTTTGAGCCATTTTTTCCATGTACACATATAGCTGTCTGTGAATAAGTGCCCGTATGACACTGAGGACATTTCGCTCTGACTTGGAACTGTCTATTTTTTATTACTTTATGGGAAAACAATATTGAGATATATATATTGTATATTGCGATTCAGTTAAAAATATCAAGATATGATTTTCGGTCCATATCGCCCAGTCCTACATAAGGCTATTATAGTGCACCGTTTCACAAGCGTCGCTCGTTGCAGTAATAGTGTATTCGCCATTCTTATAAGTTGGGAAGTTTGACATTGTGACATGACCAACTTCTATCTTCCAATCAGCAGCCAGAATGTCAACGTTCAAGTTCAGCTTCCTAGTGACCATTTCAAGCTTTCAGAGGGCACAAATACTTAACTACAATTCATGAACAAATTTAAAAGCTACTTAAGACGTGATGATTCATTAACAAACATTGATGAACATGAGATCAGTATTTCAGTTCCATTATTTCATTTCTTGTTCCTTCAGTGGTTCACAAACATTAATCTAATTAACTTTGGATAAAACAGGCATCACAATTCATCCGTGAACAAACATGGGGTCAGTCTGTACCTAAGACTTAGTTTTTAGTTAATACATAAGTAATAGCATAATATTACATTATTTGTTCCCCCTTAAGTAGTTACTGCTCTTACCATTAATTCCCTTTCAAGGTATGAAAATTGCTGACAGACTCTGTGCATTGTTTGCATCTAAAGAAAATAGTAACACCTAATTAATGTTCACCTGTTACTTGATCTAAAGCGACTATTGACCGTCCATACTTCTGTGGTATTGTAATTCTGTTTTTTTCAGATATCTCCCAACCCTAATCTTCACCTCTCGTTTTCATACAATTTTAGTTCAAAATCTAACTGTTGTCCACCATTCTGTACACTGCTCTGCTCTTCTGCTTACTGCCCCTTGTGCATGACCAAACTCCTAGCATTTGTCTCTGTACACCAGGATTCACTTAACTCTTGATCCATGTTTACATGCTTTCATAGAATTACTGTATAATGAAGTGTGTTTGCACACAGGTGAACTGGGAGAATGAGAAAGAGTGCTTTGGGGACTTCAGTCGCGAATGCAGCACATTCTACTCCATCAGAAAGCAGTATACCATGGAGGATGTGACTGGGGTGGAGCCTAAGGTAGGCCCTTCCCTTCTTGTTCAACCCATAGTCAGTCTACCCCTTGAAGTTCATCATTCTGATCCCAGTTCAGTAAGTAGACAATAAGCCCTTAGGTTGTTAGTCACCCAGTCATTTCTTTATACTGACCAGGAACTGCAACATCTTTGGAGGAACTGAAGCAGTTCAGATTAGTGCAGGCGTAGCTATGGTTTGTAACTTGTTCTTTGTAAAATAATATGCAAAAGTTTTAGGCAGTCAAAGAAAATGTTTAACCATATTTATCTTGGTAGCAATTTGTATATTTCCTCCAAAAAAATTAACATATGCAAGTTAACAGTAACCATAAAAAATAAGAATGTCATCTAAAAAATTGACTAATATTGTATAGGATGGCTAGATAAATTGCACTTTGGTTCCAAAACTCCTTAGGGGCACCTCAGCCACTATGTATTCATTCAAGTTATTTAATAAATCGTGTTGATTAGCCAAACAAGGTGGGGTAGCGATTGGACTATCGCTGTAAATACTGTACTGACTTTAGGAGAGGTTTTTACAGACATAGTTTTACATCAACATGAATGACACACAAGCATCATTTTCTGTGACTGCTGAAGACTTTTGCGCAGTGCTGTATCTGTTGACTCAAGGACCAATTCATTGCAGCCAGAGGATCAGGTTGGGTCATCGTGGAGGTGGGCTGTGGAGCACCTGCTCTTCAAAGCCTTCAGGACGCATGTCAGCCCCCCACAGCACTTCAGTCAGGATGGCAGTGTGCTGCAGATTGCCAACCTGCCAGACCTTTACAAGGTGTTTGAGAGATGCTAACCTGGAATGCTGAAGGAAAAAGAAAACTCGGAGATATCTGCAAGTGTTTATTTTTTTTTTTTTAACTCAATAAAAATGTTTGATAATTCCTACAAACCTACACAAAAGCATGTGTTGGAGTGAGTATTGGTTGATTGGGGATGCAGTTTTGATGTAAACCCATCTGAGTGAAGGAGGGCAGTGGAGTAACTGAGCCCCCAAGTCATACACTCTTCTGGGAATGGATTTTCCTGTCTCTACTGGGATGCAGAATGGCAACTCATCAACAAAGATCTGGAAGAGTAAGGTATCCAGTGAATTTCTGTGGTGTGGAAAGAACGGACTCCATTTGCATTAGAAAGTGTACTTTTAATGTTGTAGCTGCCCCAGTCACAATCACTGTGGTCCTGAGACTGAAAATCCACTTGTTTCCCAAGCAGCAAAGATAGTTTGAAAAAGTACAGCATGTTTTCTTTTGTCGTTCTTTCCACCTCAAGTAGAACTCAGTACTGACAACCTGTCTTTAAACAAATCCAATGTGCCAAAATCCATGCAAGAACATCAACCCCATATATACACTTCATGTACAGTTCTTCTAAGAAACAATTTTAAATATTGCTCAATTCCTCACCAATGGAAACTCAATATATTGTTATTTGATTCTACATATGTTTAAAACCTAAGTGCACCCTATTTAAATACATAATTTGTACCAGAAATAACAATCCTTTGTTTCATCCTTAGTGTAGAAATGCGTGGCTCCGTGTAGAAGGCACTTGGTGGCTGGAGGCGGCTGCAGGCCACTTGGGGCCAGACTCATGCAACTTATCAAAAAAACTAGTTAAGCACCCAGCTGGAGAAACAAAATCTTGGTGAGTAACATGATGTGTAAAGCTTTCAGGGAGAAAAAAAAAAAAAAGCTCAAAAATCTGAATGAAAACACATTGTGATCCCCCCCCCTCCTCTCTCTCCCGTCTCTGGGGCTGGGTGGGAGTTTGCAAGCCAATGGTTCTCATTCATAAATGCAGGATCGGCAGAGCAGTGCATTGCTGTTACAAAGAACGCCTAGGGCTGCTCCCATTGGTGCAGGGGTGGTATTAGTGGGCAGGGCTGCCCAATCCAGGCTTACTGTTGGGACAGCATTGCGGTACGGTTGGCTTTCATCTTCTCCAGCCTTTTTACTAGATGGCTGTTGGTCATCTCCATTTCCTCTATCTTGTCCAAGGCTGTCCGGAGCTGGAGGTACAAATAACACTTACAATGCAGGTCTGCCCAGGTCTTCTAACTTACTGCTGTTTGTTCCAAACTCCTTAAGTTTAACTAACCTGTTAACTGAATTCAGCTTTAAAAATGTTTCTGAAAGATACTTACAGTAGCTTAATTCCCTTAAAAATAGGTGTAAACAGACCATAAGTAAAAGGAACATTTAACTAGCTCTCATTTGCACAGATGAAGGATTTAAGGACATTTGTAAGCATGTCACATTCTTACATGATGGGCCAATCGTGTCTAGTTATTGGAGGTTGGCTGGTACAAAAGTAGGGCTGCCATTAATGACTATTTCTGTGGATTGATCTATGGATTATTTTACCGATTGGTTGATTCATCTAAATGATTAGTTTTCCTCCAGAAAATCAAATAGTTTAGATTAATTTTATTTTGACAACAAACTGCATGCCACTGGAGGACTTTAGATAATGACACTGGCTTTTGGCATTATTTTTGCCCACAGTTCGATAAGCAGATTAATAGTATGTCTAAAATATTAATGAGATGCATATTGTGAGACACAAAAGTTAGTAATCTGTATAAATTCGGTGTATTCTTATGTTAAATTCGGTTAGCAGAGCATGCCACATGCTACTTTTTTGGTAAATCATGGAAGCGATAAGCACTAAAGTGGCGGTGAAGAAAGGGACAGATCAGCAACCAGAGCATCTTTTAGAAGAGGAGATACCGTGGATAAACAAGGTAAGAAGATGTTTGTGGTGAGGTGGTACTTTTTGCCAACACTTATTTTTGTAAATATAGTTTTCATCTTTATTTTAGATCACAAATAATTTTCTTTTATTTGGTATCCGTTTTCGTTTCCGTTTCAGTTTACGATAATAACTGGTCCCAACAAGCCCAATCCGCACGAACACACACATACTGGCCCCGTCAATCCACATCGATCAAGCCCAGATTTTAGCCTAAACATTTTCAGTAATTCAGTGGAGATTCTAAGGTAGCAGACAACTTCATGGCTTTAATAATGACTGTATTTAGCAGCTACAAGGACAAAAAATTGATCAAAAATTACCATTAGTGTGGAGAACTTAAACATTAATAGAGAACACTTATGGTGGTTTTGCTTATTCTGGCGATCCAGAATAGCGCCTGTGTGTTCCCTCTTCAGGTGCTTGTGCGTAGTGTTATGACCATGTGATTGGCATTGAACTTTGCACAGTGTAAAACCACCTATTTGTTTAGTGATAATTTGCAGTACGTAATGATCTTGGAGGAATTTTTTTATTATGAACTGAAGCGTTTTAGAAATCATAATGGTAATTTCATTAAAATAATTTTTAAAAACTGCGTCGATTTCAAATATTGATGTAGACGGATTTTCAGTGTCGACATCATCGACTACGTCGACTCATCGCAGCAGCCCTATACAAACGATTCTGGAAATCCCACTAGTGGTGGCAGTTGGTGTGAGTGTGTGGGTGTGAGTGGTCCATGTCTGCTTGTGAGTGTGTCTACCCTGTACCTCTCTTTGAAGCTTCCTCTTTTCAACTTTGAGTTCATCCTCGATTTTCTCAGAGTTGTCTGCAGCCATTTTGTATCTGGACACTTGTCCTTCAAGTCTGTTGGTCTGAAAGAGAGACTTTCCGTTAACTGAGCATGATGCATATCAGAGTTACTAAGGGATTTTTATCTTGTGGGGGTGGGTAGAGTGTCCGTGCCTAAATCGTAGTCCAGAGGACCAAGTCTCCATGATGAATTTAACACTGAGTACTACAGTACTACTTAGTGGTTAAGGGTGTTGAAGATGTTAAGGATGATGCCTTAAGGTTCCAACGGGGTACTGTTACTTGAACACTGAGGGTTAAGTACATCTAATAGCACTATGTGATAGTACCAAACAGTATTCCCGATAGATTTAATTACATTTTGTTCCATCGTTGCCATTTCCTGTTCTGCTTTTGAGAGTTTGAACTTGTATTCACTTATTTGTCGATTGGCATCTCCTGTTGGAAGAACCACATGGTAAAATCAGCAGTATGATTAGGATTGTTTCCTTAGTTCCGCATAAGCTATAGGGACAGATTTGAATAACATGAACAAGTGCAGCAAAACGAGTCATTAACCCTTTGTAAGCTGGAATATGTGAATAAACTGGGGAACTATAAACTTGACCAGCTAGAATGTGAACACCACCAAAGCAGCACACATGCTACACATGTGTTTGTGCATATATGACACAATGGCGGGGCTGCATAGGATTCATCTTATGTGTCTAGGAGAAACTAACTCTGCATCTCAATGAAGTGCAAGTCAGTCCCGTTCTCCAGCCGCTCGCTGTCTGTGAAGACGCTCTCCATCTTTGTACTCTTTTGCCTTTCCTCGTCCAGCTGCATCTTTAGCTTCCTGATCTGAGACAGGAAGAAATGCAGATTACCAAATGCATCAACACACTACTCAAATTTTACAAAACAAACCTACAGCTGTTTGTGGGAAATGCTCACTCCTAACAAACTTCATACACACAACATGGGAACGAGGTGATGAGGCAGAACGCCACTTGGCAGCTGCGTGACGCGGGTTAACTTGTACCTGAGCCAGGAGCTCCTCTTTTTCATCTGCTAGCTTACGTAGCCTAACATCTGAAACAGAGTAAACAAGACACATGATCTGGGAGCAGTCATGCTCAGTGAGTGTGAGCCAGTGGGATGAAACAGTTCATGGGTAAATTGTTGAGCAAGAGACCGAGTTAGAATGAGCAAATTGCCAGGTGGGGCACATAACTCAGCCTTACCTAATGGGCCCTCTCCTGCAGCTTCGAGCGCTTGGGCTGTCTCCTGTGTAACCACGGCGACGACCCCTCCCTCAGGCTCATGGCTGACGTCTCCATTAGGGGTACTCTCTGGGATGACCACCAACCCGTGTTTCTGTGGAAACCATATGGGGTGGGTAACCTGAGCACTTACTCAGCAGCACAGAAGATATGTCCTTGGTACTCGAGTCCACCACGGAGCATACTGGTTACCAGTGTAGCTGGGAAACCGTCACCCCAACTTTTTACACAGTGTGTACACAAAAACAGTCTGCATCTTATGATTAAATACATAGACCCACATACTGCTCAGTGACTTACAAACTCAGTTCATCTTCCAAATTGCATCAAAATACCACCACATTTATAAATTGTATGATTGCTGTAAGCATCACAAAAATAGCACAGACAAGCTATACAAAAATTGCTGTTTGACCCCTCTGGCTTTGGTATTAAGGAATGAAATGTGCGGCATCTGTTGATATGATTTCACTGACACATGTAAACAGACGTCTGCAGAATAAACACCGAGCTGGTGTTCTGTATCACTAAACAAGGTGCCAGGACCAGTGACTGGTCTTCAGCAGGGCAGCATGGTCCCACTAAGACAGCGGCTTCTGGGGGTAAATTAACCACCCTGGTAATCATGGGAGTCATCATCTCCATGACAACTGGCCTTGCCACAGTTTCGGCAACCTACCTCTGCTGGCTTCGACTTCCCCTTGAGGTCAGCCAGCTCATCTCTGAGCTCATCCCTCTCACTCCTAATGCAGTCAAAGTACTCCTTCTGTCTCTCCAGTGCCTGGCCACCAGGGGGCGCACAACCACCAGAGGAACAGGAAAGAAAAGGCACAGGAGGAAGAGCAGAGAAAGCAGCGTGCATGTGGGAGTATGAGAGAGTGAGACTGGAGGCAACGCATGCAGACACATACGTCTTCCCAGCGAGACCAATAAAAACTACTGATGAAGCGAGATGGTTCCCCTACAGCAGGCAGGCTTTTCTAAGGCCCAGACTAGTTCAGTTTTTCCTTTGGGAGCCAGCAGGGGGCAAAACTATGAAGTGTCTCATTCCACAGAAAACCAACATGC